CCCTGTTCAACGCTTGAACCAGCTTCGGCCGAGTGGCCGAAGACATGTTTCGAACCGAAATGGCTGCGGGTCTGAACGCTGGGGATTGCCCAATCCAAGCGTTTTTTGCAACCACCGCCGCCAGCGCACGTCGCGTCACTGTCACGTGTTTTCCATGCTCCACATCGGCACGCACAACATTCCTCTCATACTGCGACGCACATTTACCACTTCGTGCGAGATCCGGGCGGGCCCGACGCTGCCGCTGGAGTGCCGCCCGGGACATCCATGCCGAAAAAATCCCAGTTGTAGGTGAGAAGGAAGCTCGTGCCACGCAGCCGAAACCCAACCACCTCGTCCTCCTCGTCCGCTTCGTCCTCCTCGGGGGGCCACGAGTCCTCGTAGGCGGCGGCCGCCGCCGCCTTCTGCGCCGCCCCAGCGCTCGAAGACTCAACCAGGCGAGAAAGTGCTTCTACCTTGTCCCTGGCGGCGTTGTCTCTGGGTAGCTCCGAGTGGTGAACGCCCGCTGCTTTCGCTGCCCTGTTCAACGCTTGAACCAGCTTCGGCCGAGTGGCCGAAGACATGTTTCGAACCGAAATGGCTACGGGTCTGAACGCTGCGGATTGCCCGAACCAAGCGTTTTTTTGCAACCACCCTCTGGATTAAAAAGTTGTGACCGGCACTATGCGAGAGAGCGATCCTCGCGGGTTTCGCCGGTCGGCTGGCCCTCGAGCCTCCGCCATCGATGAACCCTGAGATGACTCCAAGGCAGGCCCGTGAACCGAATGACGGAACGGCTCCGCAGGACGTGGAGCGGTGCAGCACAAAGTTATGGAAATCATCGCACACAAAATCTTTGTCTTCTGGCGGCATGGAAGGCAACCTGAAAGTGCTGTTTGAGGACGTCTTCAGCGAAACGATCACTCTCAGGCGGCATGAACATCGATCTGAAATTTTTTGTGAAGAAGTCCTAGGCGAAATCTTTTTTTTGCTGATAGAGACTGACCGCAAGCGAACCAGCCTTCGTTTGAAAAACCTCTAGCCAGCGCAGGGGACGCATTCGACCCGATCCCACGCACCGTGGGATGGGTCACCGTCGTCCTCCTCTACGCTGGCAATGGGAAAGCCAGCAAGGCCGTCCCACAAGGCCAGATCGGCCTGGAAAGCGGGCGGCGGCGAGCACACCTGCCCCGTCCACCCCACCCCCACCCCCCCACTCCCAGTCCCGACCGAAGGAGAGAGAGCAGGCAGAGGCGGCAGTTCGGCCGACTCGAGCAGCCTGCGCTTCCGCAGCAAAATCGGAGGGCCCACGAACTCGCGGGACCGAAGCGGATGGCAGCCTCGCATGAGGTTGCGCAGCCTGTAGTACCTCGAGTCTCTCACGAGGACACCCTGCCTACGATTCATCGGCAAGCAATCCTGCGAAAGACCCTGGCTCTTCTTTTCCGAAAAAGCCCCGCACAGAGAGCAGAACAGGAAGGGCCCCGCGCGGTGAAGTGCGTGGGAGCTGGTCCTGTCGTCACAACGAAGCTGGCGAAGCACCGAGCGTGTCCTCGCTGACCGAAGGCACACCATGCATCGGAACCTTTGCGCAACCACCGTCACTGCAGGGTCGAAGCGCGAGTGCGGCTTCGGGGGACCGAGTCCCCCCTCAATCGTGCCTATGGCACGGCCGAGTATTTGCGCTTGAGCGTCCCGTGGCGTGATCGTGCCGATCCGAGCGACCAGCCTGGTACAGAACTGAGCAACTAGGCGGATGGCGCTGCGTGACGCGCCATGCGCAGAACGCAGCTGGAGGGAATCTCTATGCATGGCGGCACCCCATTTAGCCGACTGATCAGCTTGGGCATTGCCGACCCTCTGCCATTCCGAAATCCGTCCCTCTGCTACGGCAGAGGCAGGAGTATGTGCTTTGACGTGAGAAACCTCCACCGACTCACCCCCACGGTCAGACACAAGCCTCCAAACCTCCCTCCATAGTAAGGCAAGCGGGTCACTCGCAGCGGTGCCTGCTCCAACACCTTGGCGCCAGACATCCACGAGTGGCTTGCAATCCGTATAAAACTTCATCTGAGCTCCCATATAGCGCAGCGCCATCAAGAAACTGAAAAGCTCAGCCGCTGGCACAGATTGAATGAGACAGGGCAGAGGGCCATGGAGGCGAGCAACCACTCGCTTGCTGTCGTCAAGCGAACAGAGTCCCCATCCGCAGCGCCGTAAGCGAGAGAAACGTCCGTGCCTCCCCGACCCATCACCGAACACGTGCATATCGAGCAGCAAGTCGGGAGACCGCACCGTCCACACGACTCGCTCCTCGAGGCAGGGGCTCGGGAAGAGCCAAGCAGGGTCAGGGACAAGAAAGCGCGTGAAAAGCAAGGTATCCACCGCAGCAGCACGAGCCATGTCAAGCATTTGACCAGCCATGGCACTGCCAGCTCTGTAATCCCGACGAAACTCAGTATGCAGGGGGCAATCGTAGAATCGGTGCCAGGTAGATCCAGCACTCTGACAGGCAAGGCAGCTCGGGTTGACGGCTCCACCTGACTCGTACAGTCGCTCCTGCGACCAGAACCCTCCTGCAAAAAGGCACCGCAGAAGACCCTGATGCCTTGGGGTCCAGTCAGGGCCTCGGATAGAATGAGGCTGGAGGAGGGACCTCAGGGGCTCCACGAGAGGAGGATGAGGGCAGGGCGAGACCCACGAGGGATGCTTCGCGAGAACCTGTCGCCACACCCACCGCTCGGTGGCCTCATCAACTAACCTACCTCCATCCTTCGGGGAAATCTGTTCAATTGCGAGAGGACCTCGGTGGGTCTTCCAATGAAAAGGGTCAGATACAGACCAACCCAACCGCAAAGTGTCGCAACTAGCGCAGAAGCAGGTCCGCGAATGTCAGACCAAACTTGAGACACAGGAACACTAGACAGGCGTGCCCATGCTCCACTCAGAAGTCGCGCCATATCTGCTCTGGGGGCCCATCCGTCCCACAGCGCCTGCAGCCAGAGGAAGATCGGGCTCCTGTTGCACTCGAAGGCGGGGTCGACCTGCGGCCCAGCAAGCATGAGGTCCAATGAGAGCGACCTGCCCGTGTGTCCTAGGCGGAATGTCACTTTCAGACGCCGGCCCCATTTGGCCTTTGTAATATTAAAGGGGATGAGGTATGCGTCTGAAACTCCCAAGTCGGCATCAAATCCAACATTTTCCTGGGCCCCATGGCCTAACGGGTGGCCAACAGCGTCTCTCTCTCTCTCGATCCCCGCCGTCCCAACTTTTTAATCCAGCGGGTTGTAGATCGATCCCTCTTATGAGTGCGCTATCTGCTCAGCAAACCCCCGGATAATTCAAGAAGAGCCTCCACAAGTATTCCCAATGAGCCCGAAAAAAGGAAAATCCGCCGACCCTGCTGGCGTGTGGAATGCGTTGCTCGTCGTGGTTGTTGTCTTCGTACGTACTCGTCGTCCTCTATTCTGGGTCCGTCGCCGCTCCCCCCCTCTTTCCCTGGGCCCTCATCCTCAAGCGCGCCAGCCGAAGCGAAATGAAACAACCCAGCCAAAGCGAAATTAACAACGTTGTCATTAAGTCGAAAGAAAGCACCTTCCCTTTGATCCCTTCCCCGCTGGGGGGTGGGGGAGGGTCCGGGGGGGGGTCCCGGTGAGGGGTCAGGGGTCAAAATATCATCCCCTGTTTGCGGTATTACAGAGGGGCCCTCTGTAGATGCGCTGGATGAGGGGGTGGTCGCCACGACGGATCTGCAAGAGCGCCCCTGGACGGCCCAAGGACAGCCAAAGGGGGCCCTGAGACGGGCCAAAAGAGCCCCACAAGGACTCTCAAGAAGGCCCGGAGAGGCCGTATTCATTGATTATCGGAAATGTTTTGTCCCCGCCCTCTCCCTCCCATTTCCGTCGAGAGCCGAGGCCTCCAGAATTGGTTGCTCCCCCACTCCTCCTCCTCCTCCTCCTCCTCCTCCTCCTCCTCCTCCTCCTCCTCCTCCTCCTCCGCATTCCTCTCGCTGCTCCACCACTCATCCTCCTCCTCCTGCTCCTCCTCCTCATCCTTCCCCCCTGCTCCTCCCTCATCCGCCTCCTCCACCCTTCCTCTTCCCCCCCCCACTCCTCCTCCTCCTCCTCCTCCTCCGCCTCCTACCCCTCCCCGCTCGTGTTCATCTTCGTCATCTTCAAGGTCGGCGGCACCGGCTGGAAGGCATTCGCAATATGTATGCCTGCGATCGGCCGCCATTGACTGTCTGTGCTTTCCTGCCGTCGATCACATGTTCATGCGGGCCCTTGGTGTTGCGTTTGGTTGCTCGCCTTTGCGCACCCTTAATGGCAACATGTATAGGTTGCTCATGCTTGCTTACATAGAACGGGTCATCATTCGGGTGGCGCAAGGCCATATTTGATTGCGATGCGCGTCTGATGGCTTCAGAATTTTCTCCGTGCTTGAGATGACGAATAGCCCAGGGGTGGAGGTCGTGGGAACAGGGGGAAGGCGGGGAGAGGCGTCTCATGTGGTGTCCTCCCCTGGGCCCCCACCCTCAACACGCTGCACGATGTAAAAAGCACGTCGCGGTGGACAGCCTAGTAGCAGTCGCAGAACGCATTGCAAGACCTCCCAATTTCACCCTTTGACTTTGGAGGACAGCCCCGGTTTCGGAGTAGATGAGGCGGAGCCCACACTGAGAAGGACGCCGAGCTAAACTCTGTTACGCTCTTCGGGCTCGCGTCTAGGCGCTACGGCCTGGACAGGCTCGGCCCAAACCTCCCAACCCTGAGGGCCTCCCCTGGTCTCGTGCAAAGGCGGTAAGCCACGATCGTCCCGTTTGCCTGCCACGGCGTGTTCGCTACACAAAACTCCCGTGGGTAGAGAAACAGGGGCCTGCTAATCGACGGTGGAACCAACACCGCCTCCATCCACACGTGACTGCAGGGCAGATCTCGTCCACTGATTGACCAGGTCGGGCGCGCTAGCACATAGCACACCCGCCTCTTTCGCACACCCCGCCCTTTTGCTCTGCCAAGGGCCTCCTCAGCAGCGGCGTCGCCCAGGGGCATCGAAAAGCCATTGTCCCGGGAAGTGTCGGTGACGGCGCCCGGCAGCTGCCCACCAGGCTGCATGAAGCCCAGCGGCGCCGATGCCTGAACAGCTTGGCAAATAGTGCGTGCACTCAACAAGCGGAGGGTAGCGCGTGGGGAATGCAAACCGCGAATCGCACCGAACACGAGCTGTTCACCTCTGATCAAGCCTGCTCCTGACCGTGTGTTCTCCACTATCCACAGGACATCCACCTCGACAATACCTCCGATCATCACACTTCGCCATCCCCCCCACTCATCCCCATCACTACCACCTACACATGCACCTTTACCACCATATCACCAAATCCCACCCCTTCGCTGCCAGCTCCCACGTGTCCACACGACGAATAAATATGGCCGATCGATGTCACAATGTCTTCTCTTCGGGCAAGCACACACAGTTGCGGATCCAGAAGTGGAGTGCGATCCGAATCACATATCCATGCTCTTCGGCGCTGACACGACGAATGCCAACACATGAGAACAACCTTCAGACACCTCGAGTTTGGGCCGAGCAGACGTAGCGAAGCACGGAGGACGCCTCACAGACCAGTGCCCCCATTAGCAAGACGGGGGACTTCCCCTCCATCAGCCGTTCCAGTTCCTGGACATCGTTCTCCTTCTGGGAATCCCACGGTCTCTCGCTGGGACCGTCCAGATCGAGCTCTTCTAAGTCCGCAACATAGCCCAGACACAGCGGGCACTCTGCTGCTCGAACAAAGATGGGGTGGGGCGCGTGCACTTCCGCCACATTCACTGGCCTACACATGCACCGAAATCGGTAGCAATTCGATCTCATCCTTGGCTCCGCACCTAGGCTGTCCATTGGAAGTTCACATGCTCGGCCACCCACCTGTACTGTCCAGCCTTGGGCACAGTCACCAGACCTCTCTCGACCAAGCTCGTCACCCCAAAGCCGCTGAGACAGAAGACAACGCTGTCCGATACCGACCCTGCGTCTGATTCCATCCCCACGCGTACTGTGGTGCCGCCTGTGCCTGAGGCGATTCTCCCGCTGCTACCAAACATTCCATGCTATCTGGCGCTAGCACGTCTGCCGCCTGTGATCGACCATGCCTTTGGCCCTCCGGTACTTCTCCTCGGCCACCTCCGCCACGCACTTTGAGCGGTTATCGATCCACATCCCAGCAAACAACTCTGTTGGCCTTGCCACTCTTGCCGCGGCTGCGGCCGACCGCCGAAGCGGCGCTGCTGACGCGCCGCCGCGGAAGGATCGTATCACCTGGTCGGGTTGCGACCCCGCCGCGGCCAGTTGGTTCAATTCTCGAGCCACCCTGGGCTGAGGTTCGCCTGACGGCCCTTCTGTCCCTGCCAGAAGCGCGGCAAATGCCGCCGCGCCCTTGGCTAGAGCAACTTGGGGTTTCAATCTAGCTCGGCGGACCTCGACACATTCCTGCTTGTCCTGTTCCTGAAATTCGAGAATGCGCCATCCACAAATTTCATGGGATTGATGCCCAACCGTGACCATGCAACGCGAAACCAGCGGCGCGCCCCTCGACGAACTGGAGTCGATGTCCGCTTCCGCAACCACGCAATTACAAGTGGCCGGGGCCGCCTGGGAGGCACCACGCGGACACAGGGGCGGAGCGTTCATGCCGAGCAGATGTGGCCAGGTCCTAGAAGGCAGACGATGCAGAAGCAAAGATGTCAGGCTCGAGAATGAGCCGTACATCAGGCCATGCGCGATGCATCGATACATCTGCCTTGCACCGTCCGCTCTGCATTCTTCCGCCTCGTGTGTCTGGTCAGCCTTGCCACGATCCTCTCGTGTGTATATATATGTATATTTATATATATACACATACAAATACATGTGCATGCGGATGTATCCGAACCCTCCAGCTCAATATGGAGATTCGTTTCCACGTTCATCTGAACTGCCCGCGCCTGCGGCCTGGTCGAGTGGATCGCAATCTCAATCCCCCGATCGGCCACATGATGATTTGCCCATGGCGACTCTCGTGGGGTCGCATCCAGGCTGGGGACCTGCTCGACCGCGCTTCTTGACGGCCACGACAGACAACTCACCGTCGGATCCATTCAAGGTCTTGCGGCACGCGAGACGCTTCAAGAAACTCTCCTCCCACGTTCATCTGAACTGCCCGCGCCTGCGGCCTGGTCGAGCGGATCGCAATCTCAATCCCCCGATCGGCCACATGATGATTTGCCCATGGCGACTCTCGTGGGGTCGCATCCAGGCCGGGGACCTGCTCGACCGCGCTTCTTGATGGCCACGACAGACAGCTCACCGTAGGATCAATTCAAGGTCTTGCGGCACGCGAGACGCTTCAAGAAACTCTCCTCCTCCTCCTCCTCCTCCTCCTCCTCTTTATGATCCTCATTATTCTCCTTCTTATTCCGTCCATCCTTCCTAGTTATTCCTACTCAGTCATCTTCCTCTGGCCCGCAGTCCGTCACCGTGCCGTATGCACGGTTAGGCCCCTGAGAGTCTCCAACGTAAGATGTTGAGTAGACCACTTGGAAACCTGCCCCAGGACCCCTAATCACAAGATTCCTAGGCTTTCTCGCAAGCTCTCGTGCGTCTCTTGGGGATTGGCGCCTGAGGCGATGGAACCTGAAACCTCCAAATCGCTTTATTCTGACCCCAGGACCCCGTCTTCGGGCTGTGTGGGACATCTCTCGTTGAAGGCCCAAAGCAAGGAATCGTACGCGCGCGATGAAACACAATGTCGCTATTCTGGCCATCAGAGCGACCAAGGCGGCCAAAGAGGTCCCCACGTTCAGGCCAAGACGGTCACCAAGGTACTAAGAGGGGTCCAAGAGCCCCATGAGCCTTCCCCCCAAAGATGGCAGCCCCCGAGACTGCCAGCACGCCCGCAAGAGGCTTCCCGAGGACCCCCAGAATCTCCCAAGAGGAGCCTGGGAGGCCTCAGAAGGCTCCCAAGAGGCCACCAAGAGATCCCAAGAGGCCTCGGATAGCCCCCTGGTCCACGACCCAAGCATGGTGGCGGGATGGGCCGCTCGGGTCGCCCGACACAGCCCATCTCTACCCTCCCAAGACAACCGTGGATCTTCGACCAGGCAGCCATTGCCGCCACCTCCATCCTCGCACCCCGGCCCCCCCTCCCTCCACCTCACTCCTTCCCCGTCCCCACATCCCCTTCACCATGCCCCGTCCCGCTCATCCCGCGCCACCCTCCCTCCTCCCTCTTCCCCATACCGCCTCTCCCCCCCCGCCCCGTGTCCGAGAGCGCAGCGGAAGGGGCAGCAGCCACATGCTGAGCGCCGCTGAGCTCGCGCGGCTGCGGCGGGCGTGGACGGCGGGGGCGAAAGCAATGCCGTTAAGGAGCGGGGGGAAGTCAGTTGAGTAGTCGGATGCTGGCAGAACAGCCTACCCACAGGAGTGGAGCTGGCGGATAATACAACAAAGACTGTTCTACCAAAGCATCTAGTGCTGTAGGCCCCGAAGCCTAGGGCCCAAGAGCGGGCATCAAGGGGTGGAATGCCACAAGATGGCCCCGAAACAGACCCAAGATCCCCAAACGACAGCTTCAAGAGGCCGTGGCATAACCCCGATGCGTCCCCAGATATTCCAAGATCGCCCGTAAAGATGCCTCCAGAAGGCCCAGATCCTTCAAACACCGAAGGTCTTGAAGTGAGGTTGTCATTTTCGCCATTTCCCTTCTTGAGAGCTTCAGGGCGCCCTAAGACGGCCCCAAGGGGCTTCAAGAGGGAACGAACAGCCTCTCAACCTCCCGCGAGCCTACAGGCAAATGCCAACAATGATTGAATACAATGATTTACCACGAAACAGGCAGGGGGACCGAACCGGCTCAATAAACAACAAAGTAAATCACAAAGATGTTCTCTTCGCGTCTGTTCGCGCAACGGCGCTGTGAGACAACGGGTCGTGCGCAATCCGCGTGCCGCGCAAATCTGGTAGCGTTGGCCCATGGAGCCAGGCATCAGGACGAGGGGGCGGGAAAGACATGGGGCCCGTTCCCCTCGCTTCCCGTGCCTCGACCGCGGTATCCCCAACGCGTTCACACACATCGGACGCGCCAGGCACGCTCGTGGAGTGGGGGCGCACAGCTGCTTCTCATTATCTTCCTGCGCACCCTCTCCCGCTCGACCCCGCCTCTCCTCGCCCTCTCCTCCCCCACCTCGCCCACCCCCTCTCTCGCTTTTCCCTCCCAACTTCCTCCCGTCCGCCCACCCTTCACGCAGGTCCCAGAGACGGGGAAGGCTACAACGGGAACGATCGCGGGCTACCCCGAACACCACTGCATCCACAACAACGCCTGTGTACTTTTGCAGAGGAGTCGAGACCCATGACTCACAGCAAGCCTGGCAGCAGGGTCTGGCCAGCGCCCTCACATGCGCCCATGCGTGCCAGCGAAAACATTGGTTACACGATTGTTACTTCCACAGCGGGGTGGCTGGAGGGAAGGAGGGGCAGAGGGTTGGAGCGAGGAGAGGCGAGGTGCAGAAGATAGACAAGATCAGTATCTGCCGATCTGCGGTCTGCCTTCGATGATGGACACCTCCCTCGCGCCATCATCCTTACGCACCGTCCTTCCCGAGAAGGTCCAGTACACCCAACTCTGATGTGGGCGTCCAGAGCTATGACACGACCAACGCAAATTCAAACTAGTTTGCGGTTTGGCGTGCGAGCGACGCCAATCAGGAATCAGAAATCAAGAGCGGGGTGTCACCGCATGCAAAAGCTCTGCAGCCCTAGCGCTCCCAGTCAAAGTAGAAGGGCAAAAACAACGACACTGCTACGACACTGCTCTTACTACGGTAGCCGCTACGACATGGCACCAGCGAGCGACTGCAACAATACGACACTGCTCCTGCTCTGCTCCAACATCTCTCGACCTTCTGAGAAACAGCACGCCGTGAACGGGATGACAACGATCCCCTGAAAAGGGGGCGCCCTACTGCAATTAACAAGTCATTCACATTGCTGCCAATGTCGGTGACCCCAGGTTGGAAGAAGTGAATCGTAAGCTCTTCGTGGAGAGGCTCTGCGTGGATCGTGCGCCAGGCGAGAG